AAAAAAAAAAAAAAAAAAAAAAAAAAAAAAAAAAAAAAAAAAAAAAAAAAAAAAAAAAAAAAAAAAAAAAAAAAAAAACAGAGTGATGGGTATAGAAGCTAGTAGGCATATTCATGGCTGCCAACAAGCTCAAGAAGTGACCTCAAAGCCTGTTTCTTCATCACCTTCCCATAAACCCCTCGCCCCAATTTCAAAACCCTTTCCATTTCCAAGGCCCCACCACCATTACCATTCCTCTTGAACCTTTCCACCATCGTCTTCACCACTCTCTCATCACTCCCCACTGCGTCTACTACGCTCTCCACCACCATTTCCATTCCTTGAATTCTTCTTCCCCATTTCTTCATTGCCTTCTCCGAACTGAACACTTCAAAGTATGACTCCCAAAATGAGGCCCTCAAGTACCCCTTCTCTTTTCCCCTCACCATCCATCGCCTCATTCCTTCTTCCAACTTGTAAATTGCAGCCCCTGTTTCAATGCCCCTGCCCCTTTCACTTCCTCCTCCCATTTCAATCTCTTTTATCTCTTCTTTCTTGCTCATTTGTTCTTCGAATCTGCAACGTTTGCATTTGCAATTGAAACCCCATGTCTCTGACATTCTCTTTCGGTCTTTCCATGGCGAGAGGGGATCGAAATATGAGAATGTGATCTCTTCCCCTGTTTTTATGTCTCTAGCTGCGTGCACCATGATGTGATCTCCAATGTGTAAGCGTCTTGCATTGGGACTACATGAATGGTTGATGAATGACGCTAAAACCCACAGCCCAACTCCATAGTAATCACTGTTTTTGCCTAGAACTTTCGCGGAAGCTGCATCTTCAACTAGCGCGTTGATGTCCAAAACACTGAGGATTTTACTCATTTCTGTGGATCTAATCTGATCCTCTGTTTCTGGCTTGAAGACACTCATCTCAGGAACATCGAGATCGTCCTCCGCTTCACCAGTCGAAAGTAAACCAATCAGATTCTTTGTTTTGGTGCTTTTTGTGGCAGAATCGGTGACTTTATCAACGAAATTCTTCCACATTACCAATTGAGCATTTTCGTCGCAATTTTCTGGCAAAATCCCTCTTTCAATGGCGATTGCTTTGGTGACTAGCAGCAACGTCCCAGAATCTACATTCTTCGTCGCAAAAAGCCCGCGTCCACTGATCCCAGATCTTCTAATCTGCACTGGACCGATGAATTCAGCCAATTCTGGGGGTTTCCCACTAAACCCATTTAGAATCCAATCAGATAGATCAAAAGCTCCAGTCTTGGACAAATGTTGGAACATTTTACATTTTTCGAGATACCCATTAAGATTTTCAGAGCTCCCACTTACCTGTGGATCAACCAGAGCTGTTTTGAAGCATTCCAATGCCGAAGAGTACCTGTTGAGATTCAAAAGAATTTTACCTTTACAGAGCAGAGTTTTGAAGTGGGTGCACTCGATTTTCAAAGCTTCATCGCAATCCTTCAAGGCTTCTTCAAAATTTCTGAGCTTGGATCGAGCTTCAGCTCTGTTACAGAGGGCTAAACAAAGAGATTTTTGAAGCTTCGGAAGATGGTGATCTGTAGCCGCCGTTTGGTTTCTGCAGAGCGTGATGAATTGGGAGTAGGTGTAAACGGCGTCGTTCCATTCTTCTCTGAGAAGGAGCTCTGTGGCTCTGGATCTGATAACTTGCATCTCTGCTTCCGCCATTTCTGGGTCCTTGAGCTCTTGGTCCTCCATAGCCATTTTCGAAGCCGAGTTGAAAAGTGAAAACGGTCGTTTTTCTTCTCTTCGATCGTTGTAATTTTTGGGGAAAATTTGAATTGTGGGATTGTAACGGTCATATAGCGAATCTCTTTCCCTCTCTCTTCAATTTGGACTCGAATGCTTTTAAAAAGTTTAACGGACCAACGGTTATGTTGGGGCCGTTCATGATCGACATTAATTCTGTAATTACGATTTTAGGCGCTAATACTATTTAGTTAACTGTTCTTTTCCTTAATTGAACTCTCCTAAAGATAAATATAATTTTTTTATTTTAATTTATATATCTTGAATAAACTTAATATATACATTATAATATATAAATTCCCAAAAAAGAAATTGAGAATATTTCTAATGAAATATTAGATTTTAAACTTAATAAAATTCCATCATTACAATTCCGTTAACGACGATTAATTTTTAGATTTTACTAATGATTATAATTAAACTCATAACCCTAAACTTTTTATCTCACGTTTAATTTAAGATTTTCAAAATTATTGGAAGAGTCGTAAGTTTAATGGTTGAGGATAAAAACGAAACATTTTTTTTATAAGGGTATATAATTCTTCTTGCTAGACGTGTTCTAAAACTATTTTAGTTACCTAAGACATACATCACCATCCATAAGCTAAAATTCAAATCTTATGCTATTAAACTAAAAAAAATTAATTTGGCGTAGTTAATTAGTTTCATAAGTTTGTAATTTAAAAATAAATAGATTTTAGTGTTTGACAACTTAAAAAAGATAAGAACAAATCCAATTCAATTAATTAAGACATATATCATTGACTAGATAATAAAGGTTTGAAATTCACACTTTCAACGGTCACGATAAACTTAAAATTTTCAAGGTAATACTTATTTTTTTACAAGAGTATGAAAATCCCTAGCCAGTAAAGAGTTTTAGAAAATAGTGCTCGAGGATGAAGATATGTATCAGAACAAAACTGATAATATCTGATAGCTATGGGCTGGATTGGTTAGAAGATAAAAAAAAAAAAAAAAAAAAAAAAAAAAAAAAAAAAAAAAAAAAAAAAAAAAAAAAAAAAAAAAAAAAAAAAAA